AGCAAGTTCCCAGTACCTCCCAGGTGGGGAATTGCTCACCATTTATTTTAAGGACCAGATGGGAGGGGAATTTGGGCTTGAGGATCATGCATTCACAGTGGCAGGACAAAAAGGGCCATTGGTGGCTGACCCTGAAATCTTGGCTGCAGTGACCTTTGGTCATCCTGCCTTGGGCACAAACAACTCCATAGTGTCCCCTGGGGCTCAGTTTCCTCTGTGCCTGGTGTCCACCAGGACAGGAGAGAGGAGCTGGTTCTGGGCTGTATGGTGGAAAGGACTCAGGGATGCTTCTTGGCCACAGAGTGGGCTCCATGGTCCCTTCGATATGCAAGCACTCCCTCTCCAGACCCAAGAGAAGAGAGGGCCTGCCAGGGTGAGGTGAAGGAGTGACACTGATGTGTTTCCCACAGGAAGTCAGCTTTCCGTGGGAGGTCAGCCAGCCAAATGCTGTCAAGACAAACAGGAGGAGAGGGGGCAGTCAAGGAGCCTTTGTCCTTCTTGCCTTTCCAATAGGCAGGCCAAGCCAAGGGAGGGCAGCAAGGATGCCAACCACAAATCAGGAGCAGGAGGAGGAGGAGTGATGACATTATAGCTATGAGCAAGGAATCTCAACACAGTCACACGTGGTATGCAGGGACCCTTCTAACCACTGCTGTGGAGACTGCCTTCCTGGCAGTAACACAACACCAGACCTCTGAATGGGACTTATGTGCCCACCAACCCACACCAGGAGAGGGCCTAAAAAGCACCCAGGTTTGCAGCCTCATGTGTACAAGTGGCCAGTGACCACAGGGTCCTGGGCCTCAGGGTGCAGGTCCAGGAACACATTGGGCACTAAGGATCTGCTAAGCCTGCAGCATAGTGCTTAATGAGGTGGTGAGGCTTCCTACTGAGGCTGTGTGCCCACCAAGGAAAGCTGGTTCTCTAGGATCGCCTTCATGGCTGCAATATCGCATTCTAGCCGACCCAAGGCATCAGCCTGCCCTTGCTGTGTTCACAACTTGAGGCAGAAAAAGCACCTGGGGTAAAGGAGGCAAGAGTGAGCATGGCTGTAAGGAAAAGAGTCACCTGGTGGTCCCCTCAAGGCTCTCTCTTGGGTCCCAGGGGCAAGGCTCTTCTCTTCAGCTAGGAAGATGATGACTGAAGCAGGGGACCTTTCTTTTGGTCTGTGGCTCAAGTCTTCCTCACCTCCAGTACTCACAAGTCACAGAAAATGCTTGTCTTCTGGGCTGATGGTTTTCTTTAAGGTTCCGGAGACTCCTGGCCCCTTCTCCTGCTAGGCAGAGACTCTCCAGGGACAGAGCTCACCAAACACAGGCAGGCCCTGTGTGGACACATCACAGACAGACAGACAGACAGACAGACAGGGGACAGGTCAGTATGACCACTCAGATGGTTCTCTTACTGGGTTTATCCTGTCTACATCAATATCTTTTCTGATGGTCCAGTTTTTCCAAGGTGCCACTTTCACTAGGTGTTTTGCATCCCCTGCCCAAGTTCCCAGCATGTGTGTGTGTGGCCTGACTCTATATTACCTCCCAGGTTTCCACTGCCCATTCCCTGCCATGGCCTATCATCTCTCATTCCTCCCTGGAACCTAGTATTTGACACCAGAATTTCCACAGTAATTGCAGTCATTTCTCTGAGAAAATTCCCCCTGTTGAAAAAGAAAGAAAGAAAGAAAGAAAGAAAGAAAGAAAGAAGGAAGGAAAGAAAGAAAGACAGACAGATACAATCCCTTATCTTTGTTTGCTCCAGTTTTGTTTTTGCTTTTGTCTTTAGGCAGGATTTCGTTCAGCCCAGGCTGGCCTTGGGCTCTCTGGGGAGCCAAGGATGACATGGCCCTCCTGATGCTCATGCCTCCATCTCCTGAATGCCCCGGTTACAGGTGTGCCCCATCACATCTGTTTCAAAGTGGCTCTGGGGATGGAACTCAGGGCTTCATGTGTGCTAGCCAAGCAAGCATGCCAGCAGCCAAGCTACAGCTCCTCCCTTCTACCTCAGGAGTGGAGGCCCTTTACCAAAGGGAGTTGCTCCGCAAGGCAGGGCTGGCTTGTCTCTACCTCACAGCAGGCCCCCTGGGTCATGCTCCTGAGAGGTGGGCTAATAGGACCCTGCCACACTGTAGGACTCAGCCTCACTGAGTTAGACCTCTTTTCACCAGAGAGCCCAGGCTCTCCTAAAGTACACAATGCTCTCCTGTCTCAGCCTTTGAGTATCCAGCAGTTCAGTCCTGGGACCCTGGGACCTGGCTTTTAAGGCACTGAGGAATAAGTGTTATTCTGAACAATGAAAATAAGATTGGCGATGGACCTTGGGTCATGGCTGTTTCATCATTTTGAGACCTGGTGTGCAGTCAGCTGAACCCATGCCACCTTCTCAAAACTGTTTCCAGGGCTGTACTGAGAGATCTTAGGGGTGTGCCTAAAAATCACAAGACATTATCCTTTACCTTCCACATGTGGACATATGTCACTTAAAAGGAAGTTAACCGTAACTATTTCAATGTGAGCAAAACATGCACATTTTCAGGGGAGCCACGGCCTTACCCAGTCATCACAATACCCTAAAGGGGTAGGGGTCACCTCTTGGTGGCAGGCAGATTCAGGGAAGTTCCTTTCCCTCTGTAAACTTACTATGCAGCAACAGTTACATTTCCTGCTTGCTATGTCCGGGACACCTCTTTTTTTTTATCATTTATTTTTTAAAAAAATTTAAAACAATCTTTTCTCATTTTACATGCCAACCCCAGTTCCCTTCCCTTTCCTGCTCCCCCATTTTCCCCCACCACACCGCCATCCACTCCTCAGAGAGGGTAAGGCCTCCCACGGGGAGGCAACAAATAGGCACATCTCCTTGAGGCAGGACTGAGGCTCTCCTCCCTATATCTAGGCTGAGCAAGGTAACCCTCCAAAAAGAGAATGGGCTCTGAAAAGCCAATTCAAGCACTAAGGATAAATCCTAGCCCCACAGACTGCCCAAGCCACACAATTGTCATCCACATTCAGGGGACCTATTTTGATCTTAGGCAGGTTCCCCTGCTAACCAGATACCTCTTGCATCTTGCCCAGTAGTGGGTCTTTCTCTCTCCTGCCCGGCTGCTGAGTTTGCACCTTTGCTGCTGCCTTTTCTCTCAACACTAAGGAGTACTTTGGGAAGGTTTGTTTGGCTAATGGCAGAGTGGGAGAAGATGGTCTCTTACAGAAGTGCTCCAGGCTGTTGCCTTTGCTGCTGCCACAGCCAAGGCTCTGCTGGCAGCCTTCCTTCCAGCCCAAGTGTGTGGACAGGAGCCTGTCCCTCAGCTGGACTAAACTGAATTCGTCACTGGACATTGGAGATGGTCTAAATACCCACTTAGCTTGAAGACGATTCCTCCAAAGCGACAACGACCGTTGCAGGTCCACGGGAGTCTGGTAAAGGAAGGACCAGCATCTGCGTTGGTGCTGTCTGTATGTTCTGTGGGTCGGACAGAAAAGTCAGGCAGCCTCAAACCGAAAACTGTTTTGGATATAAGGTTCTCAGAACTTTTCACTCACACATGTGACGTTGAGATAAGCCCAAATCGGAGATTTTCATTCCATGTAGCTTGGCCTTTGGTTTTCTCTATGAACTGTGCTAGGAATGTAAATCACCTCCCTGGATCATTTCGTTTGTGACCCTGGGCTAGGAATCAACCGTTAGTCAAAGGCCACGCGCGCCCTCTGCTGGCCGTTTTCGTGAAGCGACGTAGGTGTGCATTAATAAGGTCCTTCTACTGATTGGTCTCTTGGAATTCCTTCCGTTCTGTCCTAGATCCCACAGTTCACAGTAATTTTGGGATGAGTGATCAAAACTCAAGGAAGGGGGAAGAAGTACATAAAATTTATGTAAATCAAAGATTTTTCTGGTTCCCCCTCCCTTTCATACGCTCATACTTGCTTCCCACGCCTCATTAAAGAAAACACTATTCTGGGAGATTTTGTATTGATTGTGTCTCATCGGTGCATCCCGACCCACTAGATGTTTCTGGAACTGGATTGACCGCTACACATGTTTCTACCTGTTTAACAATGCTGTCCTTCCTACAAAAGTACCAGAATTCCCTAATAGCACAGCTACACTATTAGGTATATGGTAAATCTGCCAAAGCCTCAAAATAAGAGCAAAGCACTGTTCTAGAGCTGACCAAAGTGAGGCACACCTGCACGCGACCTGGTGACAATCCCTGTCCTGACCTAATCAAGGATAAAACCAGAAAATTATGTTATGATGAGGCCATTGATTGCTGTTTATGTTTTCAACAGCTACCTCTCTAAACAAATACCATTTAAAAAGATACTGCAAAAAGCCAAATTTACATAAGAGTAAATGATATCTAAGATCAACGAAGTAGTTGTTAGTTTTGATTTACAGTATATATGTGTATAAATGAATATATATAATAAATAGCATATATTATATATAATATTATATATATTACATGATTTGATGGTGCTTCGGGCTGGAGAGATGACTCAGCAGGTAAGGGTGCTTGCTGTTTCCCAGTGGTTTCCTACTACTCATATGTGAGCTCACAAATGTCTGTTAACTCCAGTTTCAGGGGATCTGACGCCCTCTTCTGGTCTCCTCAGCTGCTGCATGCCTGTGGTACACAGAAATATACA